ACATTTTTCATTGCGTAGGACCCCCTGTTTTGTGTCCCCCCCACTTCTCAAACCAAAGTTACACCCTTGGTTACATCACATTAACAACTATACAGACAAACCAACACATCCACATATCATTACCAGCACATCCATCAAATGCAACTATAAAATGACAATTAAATACCCACAAATGTTTAAACTGGTTGCTCAATATCCATTATATTACAACATTTGATAACATTTTCTTATTTTTCAGAGCTGATACGATTAATCGATTTTAAATCGAAATCACGATTTGAAATGGTGCGATTATCAAATCACAAAGTCTGCGATTTTTTTTTCAATTTTTTTTCTTTTTCTTGTGTGTCAGTCATCCACACCAATCAGAACTGCTGTGCTCCACATGTACCAGCCATTGTTAACCAATCAGAAGTGGCCCATGTAAGTTTAGCTCTTTCACTCGTAGCTCGGGCTGCGGGGGTGCTAGAGACGGGAGTACGTTGATACGACCTTCCTAGCCGGAGATATAGCCGCATTTTACAATAAACTTCCGTTGGGTCGCTTAAAAACAAATATCGCAAATCAAATCGCAATATCTGTCAGAAAAATCGCAATTAGATTTTTTCCCAAAATCGTGCAGCCCTAATGCAAACCAACAACAACATAATCTCCATGGTATAAAAACCCTGAAAAAGTAGTGAAAGAATTCAATACTGTCATGTTTGACACTTTCAATTTGAACTAGCCTTCGTATTACAATAATAATGATTGTTATATTAATAATGATAATATAATAACTTTGTATAGCACTTTTTAAAACACTCAGTTTCACAGTGTTTCACGTATAGGATAGAGTTACAAACAAGCACTGCAGGTGGGGCAGGGATCCATGTCTTATTTAATCTTTCTATGTTAAATCGGTTTAATTTAGTTTTTAGTTTGAATTGTTTTAGATTTGACTAAGAAAAAGGAATGTGGATGGTGTCGTCTGTACCTGCAAAAGCCACGATCTTCACCACATGTTTGGCCTGGACGTCATGGCTGAGGATCTGCTGCTGTTCACCTGTGAGCTGAATCTGAGTCCTATAACACACAGACACGTGTTAAAAAGAGAAAACTCCTCACATATCCATTATCTCTGGGCGTATTTCTCCTGCATGTCAGTGACAGCTCACCCAGTCAGAGAGGAGCTGACAGCAAAGGAGCTGTTCTCCATCAGGTGAAGGACGTAGTAGATGTTGTAATGCAACCTTGAGGGATCAGAAAGAGAAGAATTGTAGCGAACCTGACAAGAACACAGTGGGACGTTAAAGCGCTGACACTTTCAACTCGCACCTGTTGCTAATCTTGACGATGTTCCTCTTTATGGCGAGCAACATCATGGCCATGTGGCTGAGGTACTCTATGATGGCGGTGCGTGACATGTATCCGGTGAGCAAGGACACCAAAGCCTGCACGTCCGCAACACTCTCACTGAGGATCAATATGACCGCCATGGCCGCATAGGGGTTCGGACCCTGGAGATTGGACACGGAGGAAGGTTGAGGTTTCAGGATTCATGGACGTACTTCAACAGGAGACAGCTGTGTATCTGAATGGGTGAGTCCTACCTCAATGCCAGGGTTAAAGTTCTTGAGAATTTCGGGAATGCGTAATCTGATGGAGGCCTCAGCCTGGGGATAGAGGCGATGCTTCTTAACACGCTCCAGAACATCCTCCGGCCTCACACGCTCTCCCATCTTATGCTGCGCCATTAAACTGACAATACACACACACAAGATAATTACCACAGTGAATATTTAAAGGGGCCATATTACGCTCATTTTTAAAGTTCATATTTGTATTTTCCGCCGAAACTGTGACATGTCTCCATGCTTTAATGTTCAAAAAGCTCTTTATTTTTGTCATACTGCCTGTCCTTCAGCACCTCTTTTCACCCTCTGTCTGAAACCAGAGCCCAGTCTGCTCTGATTGGTTAGCTGGCCAGCTCCGTAGTGAAAGGTTAACCATAAAGAATGTCCCATAAATCACGTATAATGTCTTAGAGAGCTAGCCAATAGAAGCTCGAGTGTTACATAGTGATGTCATTATGTCAGATCAGGGCGTTTCAGGCAGGCTAAACACAAATATAATAATAATAATAATAATTAGATAAAGATGTCATTATAAAAACAATAATAATTATCATCTTGACATTTTGGTATCTGTAAAATAATTTTTTCAGGCTTCTCCTCAATGTTGGCCATACAAACGGATAATTATACACAATGTAGTTCTCTGCCTTGAGATGCTACAGCGGCTCATCTCTAATTGAAAACATAACAAAGACTCTCCTTCATACATGTACTGCCCGTTACTAAGGAAACTCAGGCTTACACGGCGAGGCGTCGGATGCTGTGCTGTGATGACGCTGGATCTGTTATTCCGCAGTTTTTCAGCATGCAGCTGATGGCCAGCTCTGTCACCTTCTCTTTCATCATGAAGCGGTAGTATTTCTTCTTGTAGGGGACAAACTGCACGATGGCCCACAAACACACATCATCAATACGTATGAGTAGGACTACAACGTCAATATCCAAACACAAGAGACTAGGGATGCTCAATTAATCGTATTTTAAATCGTGATTACGATGATGGCTTGCAACGATTACAAAAGCAACGTAATCGAAATAAAACGATTATTTTTTTATTATTACTTTTTTTTTTTATAATGTTTTTTTTTGGTTTTTCAGTTGAATTATAATTAAAGTTACGGGTAATCAACTGTTAAAAACATACTGTTCAAAAAAAAATTCTCCAATAAATGGATGTTTTCAAAGTCAATGAATAATCGCAATTACAATTATTGACCCAAATAATCGAGATTATGATTTTTGCCATAATCGAGCAGCCCTACAAGAGACGGATACATTAATGTCAACACAGAGGTCATCTATCAATCTCTCAAACGTCTACCATGTTCATCTAGGAAGCTGCTGATATAAACACTTGCCCCCCTCACCCTGGTGCTAATACAGAACTTAATGAAAATGGGATTTGTTGAACCTTGGGGTCCTGGACGATGCCCCTCCAGTGACGGCAGACCCGGATGACACTGCGGTAGAGGTCCTGGGCGGGCACCAGGCACATCACTTGCCTCAGCACCTCCTCTGGAAGATCGTCTATGCATCCCTGGGGCTGTTGGAGGACTTTGCTGCATCCCAGGAGCCCAAAGTGGTCGTCAGGGAGGGCCTCCACCTCCTCTTCCTCGATGGGGATTGCACTGTCACTTTGATCAAAGTCATCATCTTTTCCAAACATCTCTGCCGTCATCCCCTCCAGATAATTTGCGGCTAACAAGCTGGCATCATCAACCTCATACTCTTCTTCAGGCTCTGCCACCAAGGAAGGGGCTAGTAGGCTCATATCGTCATCACCCTCCTCCTCCTCTTCCTCCTCTTGCCCTTTGAAAAGCTCTTTATTTGGCCCATTTGTGCACGTGGATGTGCAGGGCTGAGAGGATTTCTGCGGACTGGAACGGATGACTCCTGTCACGGGGAAGAAGTTGCCGATGCTCTTCTGTTTCCCAGAAGGACTTCCCGAGGCAGATGCTGGTGGAAGAAGGAGTGAGAGAGAAAGAACTTAGATTCAATGATTAGCGCATCGATGTCAACCTGTCTGTTCATTGGTATTTGGAGTACACGCGTGTCAATTAGTTACAGCACATTACCACACTTCCGTCGCTTGGTGGGTGTCTTGGGGTAAAGCCCCCGGTTGGGGTCGCGTTTGCCCGGCCCCTTGTTGATAGTGTGGGGCTGGACGAGAGCACTAGTGCCCGCTGCACTTTGTCCCAGTGCATCACATTCCTCTGCATTCAGGTGCCTCCTTTTGGCCTTTCCTAGAAAACAAAAAACTAGATTCAGACATGTCAGCACAACAAACACATCTGTATTAGTTTTGTCCTTATGCAACATCAGTATTTTTCTGTCTGTAATGGTATTCTTTAAAGTGCTCGGGTAAGACAAACATGCCAGTTTACATCATTGCTTTGACAATTTAGCAGCCAGAACTTTCCTGCTTTGTTTGTAATCTGTTTATTCAATGCATTTGTTTATTTAGCAATCTTTAAAAGGAGTGCCAAATCAATAAGTTATGTGCAAATACTAAAAAGTTCGGTTCAATTTCAAATGTCGCACCCTGAAGAGTTATAACCAAAAACAACCAATGTGTCCTTTTATGTGAAATGAAAACTGAATATAGCCGTTTTATGGTAAGCTAACGTTGCTGGCCTCAACTTTAAACTTACCTTTGGCAGCCATTTCCATCTTCGTGTCCAGCTCATCCGTCTTCCAGTCAGACATCTACACGATTTACGCCATTTTCAACTTTAATCAAGCAAAAAGGCGTCGGGCTAACTTTGACTACAGGCTGTGTAAACAACGACTGTTGCTAGTTCATTTATGCTTGTGCTAATATAATAAAACGTCTCATTAAAATATGTACCTACCAAACTGTACAGTAACTAACATGTACCGCCCTGGTAATATTGAAGTTACTTACTGTTGGTGACATTTATATTAAATTGTGTTTTTCACTTTGGAAAATGCTCCGGTTAGCTTACTTAGCGTTAGTGAAAGGGTTTGTTTTTGCCACCTGATTGGCTGCGACTTCTTCTTTGCTTCTTATATTTGTGGTTGATAACTTGTGTCGGGACGCATTACCGCCACCTACTGGGTGAAAGCGATGGGCATGGACATTTTTTATTATAAACTAGTTCAGGAGATCCTTTATTAAATTGTATTATCTGGTAGGGTTTACAATAAATCATATTGTATATAAATAATGTGTTTATTATATTAAAATGATATAAAATTGAAATGTGAACTAATCAAACCATGAGTTATCCATTTAACTTAGATTACATTTTACTTACAATGTAACAAAGCTAAGATATTGTGTCTTATCTGCATGATATCACATACTACTACTGTGTATACAAATGAGTTCAGACAAATACACTTTCAAAAAAGGACCTTGAGTTTTAGAAAAAGTAGTGCGATCTTTATTTATTGGTCAATCATTTGCAGTTGCTAGGGTAAGTACAGCATCAATATCCAACAACACCACAAGGTAGGTTCATTTCTTATTCATTAGTCAGTTTCTGCGTTAACAGCATATTTTTGTTCCAACATAGTACAGTTACACAGAAGAAACCCCTCCCATTGTTCAAAGGCTGTTAATATATCAATCAAATACTAAATGTAACAATGCATTAGTTATTTTGTAAGTAATAACTCGTTTACTTCTTCTAAAGTTAGAGAGTTTCATCAGTTCTTAGCATGCTTTCAGACAAAATGCTTGCTTGAAGTTATCCGAGAGAACAAAAAAAAGGGAATTAAATGAAGCAATAATTACATAGTACTTCAACAACAGTCATATTTAACAGGTTATTTGTTTCTTCCATTGAAAAGCAGTATTTTAGGAATGTTTGACAATCACTCAACTAAAATTACAACAAACTGCTTCTCAACCTACATTTAATCTCATACCAACCTGGAAATGACTGTTAAATGACTGTCAAGTAAGGCATTGGAGGCTTAAACATATTCTGAGTTAAGTGTGCAACGATGAACGATTGGCCGGCAGAATACGTTTCAGTTTTTAAGATGAATGGTAGTAGCTCCATTCTGAGATCAAACAGTGGTCCCCTACATGTTAGGGCTCTTTCATAGGGTCACTTTCTACATATCATTATTACATTTTTGTCTTTAAAGAAACAAATATTAAAATACTGATTGCATGGTGTCTCAAACCCCAATGCAACAACAACTTTCCTATATAATTTTTGGAATTTCAATGCTGATTTCCCAGTCCCGTGCAGGAGCCCTATGAAACAGAAAAATACTATTTCTTCTTCTCTTGTTCTATTACTGCTTCAGGACAGGAAGCTCCATGGGCTTGAAGAAGGCCTGGGACATCCCCATGGCAAACATGTACACTTTACTGTCCACCACGATGTCTTCTTTCTTCAGAAGAACTGCCCCATAAAACAAGGAAGTGAGTTAGTGGGTTTTTTGTTGTCTAAATGCTAATATTACCCAGTGGAAAAAAGTAAAAGCCTCACCATCTATTTTTGACTGGAATTCATCAAGAGGTAGCAGAACGACTTCGACAAATTCTGCAAAGAGAGGGTTAAGGCTCATGTGATTTTTTGCTTTATGAGGGGAAATGATTATTTCTGATAGAATAAGGAACAAAACTCACCTCCATCACCTGTAGAAGAGCAAAGGAGAACAACGTTATTTAGGTTTTTTTATATTTCAGACGAGCTACTTGTCTTATTGGTAGGATTTGTGTTAGTATTCAAATGTAGGTCGAACCCAAGGGAACAAATTAAGTGACAATTATGTGACCTGAGAAATAATTTGATTGTACGGGCGAATTCATGGAATAAGTGAGCATTAATGATGATGTGTACAAAAAGATCAAATGTGTATTTAGACAAGTTAGTAAAGCTAAAATGAATGCTTCCTGTCTTCTCACCGAGCTGCTGTGTTGGGTTGATGTTCTCTCCTTCATCTCCGTTGATGTTCACCATGACGATCTGGGTGGTGCAGTTAGACAGGCCGGGGTCCAGACAGGTCACTGCAATCAACACCATCATTAATGCTCACAACATATATTCCCAAAACAAAAAGGTTCACATTGCGCCACACACACACACACACACACACCTGGAGTGACTCCCACTACTTCTCCTCTGAATCCGGTCTCTTCTTTCAGCTCCCTCAGCGCAGCAACCTCTGCACTCTCCCCCTCGTCAATGAGCCCTGAGCACACAGACACCGTGTCACATGATCAGCTGAATATACAATTGAAGGACTTTTTCTTTATCATGTGTAACCTTCTGACCTGCAGGAAACTCCAGAGTGTAGCTTCCCATAGGAGGACGAAACTGCTTCACCATCACAACACAGTCCTTATGGAGCGTGCGCTTCAGCAGGGCGATGATTCCAACAGCTGTGGGGTGGGGTGGGGGGG